GATGTGACAGATCATAGTCACCGCACCAGTATCGACTACTCATATCCAATCATCGCATATCAATGCAAAAAGAAACGTCATATATGTAATCCCAGCAGAATCTTACAAAACAAACAAATGTATCAATTCATCGGGAGAACAGAAAACAAAATGGTTTCAAGTACATCTCCAATTGAATACCACTACAAAACAGTACGTGTCTACTTGAAAAACAAAACAATTCTTGTGCTGATGTCATCAAACATTTCTCGAAGTGGACTTGGGACATACACTCTCCGACAATTGAACCACGAATATGCACTTGTACTATCTCAATGAACTTGAAAATATGACTGAATTCCTTTCGTTCAAGATCCCAAACATAAACAACACCGTCTTAATTAGCGGAGTTGGGAATGAATCGGATTTTTATAGTGTATTCTCGAGATTTGGAGCTTTATACAAGTATGGATTCATCACTAAATGTGTGGGGTTATACCGGATCTGGTTTTATCTAAGATCCGATTTTAACAGGTGTCGAAGAGAAATGAAGTCTCAGTATACGCACAACGGGGAAAAATGGAAAATAAGCTATTCAAAACTAACTAAACAGTTCAATCGCATATTGAAGAGGGATAAGATATACGAAGTATGTAACACGTATTTGGGATTTAGTTCATGGACAAATGAAATCGTGTATGTGAAATTAATAGGAACGGAGACGTGCAAAATCAACAGAGAAAATAAGTACACCGTAACATACGAATCTCTTGTCTGTTATACTTTTATGGTGATGAATAAGGATAGCCTCATTTCATTTGAATCAATAGGAACGGCACAATACACTGCAGTTGATGAAACACATGCAAAACATATTGCTGCAAAGATGTCTGTTTTGGAAGCAACTAAATTAGTCTTCAGTAGGATTGCCTTTGAAATAAAAGATGGGCTTGTCATCAATATAGTAAAAGTCGAATCTGATATCGACACGTCCAATGTAATACTTCAAATGGGTGAAATGGAAGAAGAACCAAAAATAGATGACGATGAAATCAGTGATATTCTTGCAAAGTTAGATGATTGATTTTCAATTGTTTTTTCACGTTAAATAGAAACCAAGTTAAAGTAGTTGTATACTTCTCTGATAGATGGTCGCATGTCGCAGTCGTCGCGTGTCATTTGTAAGAGAAATTCTTTGTGTTGTATGTTTTCATTCAAAAGTAAATCCTGTAAATCGAAATTGTACCCGGACGTGAACAATTCAAGGATTGTGTATCCAAGACAACAGATGTCAGACCCATAACACATTCCTCGCTGTGTTTTTGATTCGGGAAGGTATATTCTTGTGCAGCTAATGCTATTGAAGTGTTCATTCTTCCCAAGTGCGCGTGCAAGCTCAAAGTCTATGATCTTAGCAATCCCATTCACAACAACAACATTGTCGGGCTTGATGTCCATGTGAACAATTCCTTGCTCATGAAGAAACATGATTCCACAGATTATATCTCTGATGTATTTCTTCCCTTCTAAAATACAACGGAGTGGTGTGCCACATTCCATTGCTATCCCATAGTTTGCTTCTGCAACAAGATTGTTACTAGAGTAGTGGTTTGTATCATACACACCAAGGATATCAATGATATTCCCGTGCTTATATTTCCAAATGCGATTCAGAAATGCCTTTCGTTCCTCGCAAATACAGACAAATTTTAAATATATTTCCTTCGTTTCATGTCTCGCTTTCAGAAAGATTTTGTTTATGCTTTCCTTGATCCATATGACGATTTTTGGTTCGAACGAATTGTTTTCTGACACAAACACAATTGGGGATTTAATAGTCATTTTGTTTTTATTGATTGTGATTACGGTGTAGTTCTTGTCGATGATAACTGTTGGCACTGGGGTGTATTCCATTCTGGGATAATTCTAAGTGACAACAACTGTATCTGATTTTATGATCGAGAAAAATAACTCCTGTGTGAAAATTGGATTCTCAATTCGATGTAACTGTGGTAAATGAAACTATAACAAATAGTAAGAAAAAAAGAGGGAATTATTAGAACAATTCTACTTAATACAATTACCTATTATTTTTATTCGTGTTAAATTACTAGTATATCGAACTATTAGTATACTATAATTACAAGAAATTACAAATGATTGTTTAAAACAAAAATTAAAATTGGAAATTAATTAAATCCAAGCTT